CAGCCGCCTAGGTTCCCTGAGAATTCCGGCAAATTTGTACTCTCTCGCTCGCCAACGTTCTCTAATTTTCTCTTTTCATCCCCGCGCTAATGTCGAATTTGGAGCATCCTTTCCTAAAATCGGATGCGCATATGCTATCCAACAACTTCCGGTAGCCCTCGACCATGGTTCTCTTTTGGTGAATTTCTTTTGCGCTTTTTTAGGAATCTAGGGTTTACGGAAACCTAATCTTCTCATGGCGATGCCTGGGGTTGACTTCAAGTGGTGAGTCCGTCGGATACTTTTTCCTTTACTTTTCCAAATTAAGATTACCGAGCCTTTGCATTTATTTATGTACAGGTACGATGGATTCTTCCTTTCTATGCTCGCAACCAGCATGTTAGCGGTTTTTTATTGTTTTTGGCCTGTTTTATTTTATCATTGGAGCAATTTTAGAGACTTGCCATCTGATGCGTTTGTGGCGGTGATTTGATAGAGTAATCATTTCGATCAATTGGAAGCGGTACCATCTTTGCGTGCATCCTTTGCACATTTGGATTGTGGTGAGTTTCCTGCCAACTTGGTGTTACAATGGTTTATCTGTGTTGTTGTGATCAGCTTAAGAGGTGTTGCTGCCAGGTGGACTACTCTGTTGTGTTCATCTTTAGGTTGCTGATGTTTGTGGACAATGGTCTTGCTGCGGGAATGGGTTTGTAAGAACTTCCTTTTCTTAGCAAGTTCATCTAAAAAATCTCAAATTTTAACACGTAAACTTTCTTATTTAGTAAATTTGCTTATGTTGTATTCCCCTGCGGAAACTGGTAGTAAGCCTGAGTCTGAATGATGGGATGGAATAGTTTGTGGTTATTATGTTGTTGGAGGAGGAGAATAAAAAGGCGAAGAAAACTATATAGTGCTTTAACAATTGCTTAGTGGATGGTCGGTGGCAGAGAAAAATAAGCGGGAAGGGAATTGTCGAGACAATTAAGGATATTGATATTGTCACTACCTAACAAATCACAATGACTAGGGCTCTGTTTGGTGCAGCTGTAGCTTCCCAGCTTTTCAGGTGCAGCTGCGCTGCCCCAGGAAGCTGCTGCGGGGAAGCTGTCTGTTTGTTTGGTGCAGTTGTGTGAAAACACTTGCAGAGCAACTGTTTCTGGAAAAAAATGACCATTCTGCCACTGTTTGGTAAAACTGTTTAAAAAAAGACTATAACAGTGAAATTTTTGTAACTCCATAAGAAAAATTTATTATGTAATAAATTAGTGAAACTTCAAAGTGTTAATTATGTAATAAATGTAATTGTTGGGTAATTAGTCAGTAATTGTTATGCAATAAATTTATGGGATTAAGTAATATATTTTAAAAGTTTAACTTGTTAGATAAGCGAATATATGAAATAAAAGGTTTGTTATAAGAATGCTCTTATATTTGGTGACACGAATGTATTAAATATATTTTTCAATTAGGATTTAACATATTATTAATGTACTAACTAATTTAACTATTTTTATCAAACATCGATGAAAACTTAAAAGAAAGTTAATTAAAGAGATGTGTGCACTTTTTTTTTTCCACATTTGGGCATACTATAGACAGGATATTAACTTCACTGCATATCAGCATAGTTTAAACAAACATTATGTTGCAGTTAATGTATGCATGATATTACTTGTCTGGGTAATCACATTTGGGCAAATGTTAGTTAACAACTATTATTTTTAGGGATAATTACATACATAGCACCTGAAATATAAATACCCGAAACATTGCTATTTATAAATCTAGCACCCATATGATTTTTTTAACTACCAAACTGATGCATTTACATTTGCCACGATCCAGCTGTTGAGAATTTGATAAAAATAAAAAAAATATGGGTTGAGTTTTTTTCATTACTTTTAATATTTTAATGAAAATTTCAAAAATAGATGAATGAGGGTGCTTGGTTTGTAAAAAGCAATGTTTCGGGTGCTATGTATGTGATTGATCCTTATTTTTGTTTTTTTTATATTTTATGGGTTAATTAAGAACTTACTCTCCACTAAAATATTTTCAGGGATCTTGGCTGGCAACAGAGATATGCACGATTTTACGGGAGGATTGTTGTTCTTTCAGTTATTATTCTACTTCTTTATCCTTTTCTTTGGGTTTGGACTGTGGTAGGCACATTATGGTTTACCAGTGCAAATAGCTGTGTAAGCTTGTTTTATTCTTGTCTAAGGTTTATGCTTAATAACCATTACAAAAAATTGAAGGTGGTCTAGTTACTTGCATGATTGTTTTTTATGATGGCAGTTGCCAGAGCAAGGCCAAAAGTGGGGTTTCCTTATTTGGTTGGCTTTCAGCTACTGTGGGCTAATGTGCCTTGCTTTCATGTCTGTTGGAAAGGTTCTCTATTCTTTAATCTCTTAAATTTTGATCCTTGGATCTTGAATTGAAACTAGTCCCTCCCTTTCCTTTATCTAATGGAATTGCATGTTGTTGTCTGTCTTTTGTTTTTTTTATACTATTGAACTGCATGGTATTTTTCTCTATTATGCGTGCGTATTACATTCTATGTCAACTTAATGGTTGCACTTACCTTAAAACAATTGGGGGTAGTACAAGGCATCAACAGTGTAAATTCGTTTTTGTCATTTAATTTGGTTACTCAAAAATAAACTAGTAACTATTCTATCCCTGGTAGTTGTTTTTTATTAGAATCAAGTTGAACCATAGTCAGATTACCTCTAAGTTTACTGGTTTGTGAATTGCCTTTTGGATTGTGGTTGTGTAATCAGGTTTTTTAAGGTTGGTAGGTTATAGCTAGGCTTTTGCAACTATCCGACACGGGCGTCCCTTTATGCAACCATCTTGGATGGATGCGGAAGAGAGCAGAACTAGCTATCCAGTGCACTTCTTTTGGCTGGTTTGGATCCTCCAGCTACCAAGAGCTGGGCCGGCCCATATAAGACCTCTTTTCCTTGATTATTATTATTATTATGAGCGTTAATTTGTTTTGGGATTATATACGGCTTTGTTTTGAATTGGTTTGGATAGGTTTCATTGATTTTTTTGATAATTTGAGATTTCTTCTCAGATTTCTCTTTTTTTAGGAAAGCTGTAGCCTTTTTCCTTGAAGTGGTGTGCTTGTAGCTTAAACGGGAATAGGTTTTAGATACTTTCAACATTTGCACCCTTACCGATTCTGCCATACAAATGAATTTCCTACCGTTTTCTTCCCAGACAGAAGTCAACCACTTCTTCCTTATCCCAATCCTCACCGTTCCCCTTTTTTTCTCTTCTTAACATCCTACAAACATCCCCAATACTTTCTAGACTACCATACATGTTGTAGGAGCCTTATAATAGTGTCATTTTGCTCGTCCCAACTTCGAAACCTAAATCTACATAATCTAATTCATCTACCAAAAAAATACACATTTCTAATCTTAATCCTAATCCTAAAATACTCCTTACCTTTGGCCACACCAAAATGTTTCTCCATCTCTAGGTTGAAATCCCATGCAGGGGAAGAGACCATGCCACTAAGGAGAAAATATTAAAGTAATTTTCAAGAGCTTACCCTAATATAGAGGATATGTAGTGAAAAATCCTTCAATTGCAACAAAGGCATGCTGATTTTAAAAGAAGGCAATATGGGGAAGTTACCCTCGACAACAATGGCGGCCAACTTGTTGGATACAATGAAAAACCTTTTAACGAAGAATCCTCAAATGATGAAGAGCTGATGCCACGTAAATTTGACATTAAACATTGGAGGAGAGGGGGTGACTTTGAAGTAAGGATTGATTTGTCGGATTTTGTCAGATTTTGTTGTCGCATGGATTCAGACAAGTTTATCGAGTTGCTCCAAATAATGGATGAGTCTTTGAGTACAAGGACATTTCACCTAATCGAAAGGTGTAGTTAACTGCTGTCAAGTTAAACAAGAGTACTTTTTTATGATAGAAGAACCCAAAGAGCTTGCCCTTGTGTGAGAAAAAAGTAAAGAGATGCAACACAAGTGTCTTCCAGTACATTATGTTCAGGACGTTCATTAGACTTTAACACTTATAACAGAAGAACCTATCAATAGAAGAGTACACCATTAAGTTTGATAACTTATATTGATGTGTGAGTTTGAAGAGCTAGAGGAAAATATTATAGTTTGCTATCTTGGTGGATTGATACTATCCATTAGCATTGTGATGCAATTACAACTCAATTGGAATTCACGATATGTAGGGATCTTAGACCTGATGCTTGAGAAGCAGCACAATAATATGAGATCCACTCCACCTTTTACATAGGATTCAAATATTGGGTAGGGAAGGAAGAAAACATCGACCGGAGTGCTAAGACTTGCTCCTTGTGAGAAGAAGCCATCAAAGGAGGAAAAAAAGACTAATCGAGCGGGCACCCTCAAGACATTCACAATCAGGAAGCATGGGTATAATGCATCCAAGTGCCCAAACAAATGATGGATTCCTTTTACTAAGCAGGTTGTAATGGAAAAAACATATATTGGAGACTCTGGAGATGAGAACAAATGAAGAGAGTACCAACTACCTATAGATGATGATCATATGCTTGTGATTCAACAAGTTCTCCAAATTAATCCCAGAGTGATCAACAATGGCTTAGACATAATATTTCTCATACTCATTGTACCATGAAGAGACATGTGTGCAATCTCATTATAGATGAAGATATTTATGAGAATGTAGTGTCTATCAAAATGATGAACAAATCGACCTTCACTACTCAAAAGTATTCTCAAACAAATCGAGCTTCACTACTCGGATGTATTCTCAATCTTATTCTCTGATTTGGTTGAAAAAAATGAATGATGTTAGTCCTCACAAGATATATCAGATTGAATTTTACATTGAAGATAGACTATAACATCAAATGTGTTGTGATGTCATGTTTATGGGTGCATGCCACATTCTATTAAGCCGACTGTGGCAGTATGACTAGGGCACACTTCATGATGATTATAAAAACACGTGCTTATATTTTAAGGATATGGAACATATTGTATTTTTGCCTGTCAAGGAGTCAGTAATGCTCAGGCAACGATGAGAATTATAATTTCTCATGTTACATCTCTATAGGTTATGAGAGGTGCCAATTTGATTGGCGTTAATGATGTTGGAGGTTAGTGAGATGGATGAGTCAATACAAAAGTAGTATAGTCATTGTTAGAGGAGTTTTGAGATTATTCTGATTGATAGCCTACTGCTTGGATTACCACTTTTGTATGAGATAGAACATGCCACAATTTGTTGGATATGATTAGCAAAGTATGAGGAGCTATAGAAGTTTATTGGAGATCTAATGGTCTAAAGGTTAGTTTGTGAGAGTACTAGTCCTTGTGCTGTACCGACATTTATTCTACTTAAGAAAATTGAATCATGATGTATGTGCATTGATAACAGGGTGGTAAACAAGATCACAATCAAATATTAGTTTCTTATTTCGAGATTGGATGACGTATTAGATAATTGCATGGAACTTTTATAATTTTAAAGATGAATATGCCTTGTGGATACCGCCATATTTGAATGAGGCCCAGAGATTAGTGGAGACCGCTTTCATGGCGCGAGATGGATTATTTGAGTGAGGAGTTAGGCCTTATGGCCTATCCAATGCGATGAGCACTTTTATGAGGCCAATGAACAAGGTTTTTCAAATGTTTATATAAAAATTTATAGTTGTGCACTTTTACAATTTTTTACTGTCCAACCATTCAGGAGGAAGCATTTGCAGCATCTGTGACTGATTTTTGGAGTTTTTTTTGAGGCAGAGTAGCCATATGAAGAAGTGACTTCTTAACCCCGCAGACATGCATTCTTAGGTACATCATTTCAACGGCTGGCATTAAGATGAACATAGTTATGATCAAGGTTACCATGAGTTGGCCCAATATACAGTTATATACTCATATATATTAGATTCATAGACTAACTTCTTTCTATAGAAGGTTCATAAAAAATTTTAGCTCTATTGATACACCTTTTATAGAGCTCTCCAGAGAACCAACTTACTGATTTTTGATAGATTTTATCTGATTTATTACCTTTATTGTTGCCTTCTCAGTCACTCTATTTAAGGGATTCATTAGGCATGAATTAGGGCATCTGGAGGCAATCTTAATCAGTTTTAAAGAGAGATTTTCTAAGGTTTTTTCTAAGAAAACAAAGAAGGAACTTGGAGCAATCTTGTTTGGTGGGGTTAAGGGTTAAGGGTTAAGGAGAGAGTTTTTGAGAAGCTTTGTAGTTTCTTTTTGAGTTCTCTTCTCTTCTCGTCCGTGCTTTCTATTTTAAATATAATTAAGCTTTGTTTGTTGTTTGTGTTTGTTTTAGACATGAGTTAAAGCCCCTCTTATATGTGATTTATTTAGAATGCGTAAGTTTTTCTTTTAGATATCAATGTTATAGTATTGTGTTATAGTTTTTTATTTTGTTATACTGCATGTATTGCTTGGTTTGATAATAATTATTAATTATGTAGTTACTTATTAATAGTGTTGGAGATTTTTCTACAACCGATAGGCGGAAGATGAATTCGTCGTGAGTATAAATACTACGGTTTATGCATCGTAAGTTAGAGATAATTGCTACTATCTCGTGTGGTCATTTTTCGATCCTATGAGTTTTTATTGTTTTCATTGCATTAAATATGCCACCAAAAGGTAGGTAGGTTGTGCAAGCGAGAATAAAAATCTTAGGCTTGTGAAAATAAGATGTGGCATATTTAATGTGGCACCAGAAAAATCTTTCCCTTTGGTGTAGCTGTAGCCGATCAAGCCATTTCAAGTTGGTGTCAGTTGGTGGAAACTTTGCGTCATTGGCGAGACCGTGATAGTCCTTTCTGAATCTTTGTTGTTCAGCTCTATGGGGTCTTCCCGAGGATTGGGCTCAATGTTGATCTGTGAGATTCTAGTCCCCATAACGGCCTCGAAAATGGTGTTAATTTCCTGGGTTTTCCACTCACCATTATTGATGGAAGAAGAAACCTAGATATCCGAAATGTTATTCACGTTAATTGGGCAAGGCCATCTTTAGGAATTCTTGGCGCGCTGAGGTATATTTTGCTGTAGCGCTCAACTACATTAAAGGAGCAAAACTTCCTCGGGTCGCATGTCCTGGCTTGGCTGGGAACTGCTACTAATTTGGCTCACTTTGACATTTTGGAGACTAGGCGTGAACTAATAAGAGCTATATGGAATTGAGTGAGGATGATTGAATGGCTGGCCATCTTCTGTTTATATAGCCTTAATTGGTGCCGTGTCATTGTTGGTGGTGGACCTTACAAGATTGAAGTTGTTTCGTGTTTCTCGCTTGCCATCACTAGGTAAGAATCATGATGGAATCCAACTTTTTTTCATTTAGTGCATAAGA